ATTTAAAAAGTTGTATTACTTTTTATTTTTGTTATGTCTTTGTGTTTTCGACCCTCTATCTGCCTTTATTGCTTTCTATCCACTTCATTTTTAAAGGGGTCATGACTTGGATTTTTTCTTATTATTTTAGCCTATGTTCCATGAGGACCATTAATTATGTTAATAAAGTGTTTTGCCATATATATATATATATATATATATATATATGCATGTATATTCTCAGTAATCAGCCACTGTTGTGATTGGCTAACGTCATTGCATAGAAAACAGTATCACTATTGCATGCAGGGTTTTGACAACATGATAAAAAAAGGTAATTTCCAGACAAAGCATTATGAAATGAAATTACTTGGTTTGTGATGCAGCTGCAGTCAGATCTAGTACCGCTTCATTTTTCTACAAATCATTCTGAGACATGACATCGTGCCTCGTTTACAAAACAAAATCCTCCGATCAATCCTCTGACACGTTAAAAATAAACTCTCCGTCATTGCATAGAAAACAGTATCACTATTGCATGCAGGGTTTTGACAACATGATAAAAAAGGTAATTTCCAGACAAAGCATTATGAAATGAAATTACTTAGTTTGTGATGCAGCTGCAGTCAGATCTAGTACCGCTTCATTTTTCTACAAATCATTCTGAGACATGACATCGTGCCTCGTTTACAAAACAAAATCCTCCGATCAATCCTCTGACACGTTAAAAATAAACTCTCTGCTTGTTCCTTACTCTGTAGAATCTATACTGTATGCAGTGTAGACAGGATAGCAGCAGTGATTGTCATTTCTATTTGTCAATAGTTAATAAATGCTTTGTTTATAACGAGGAGAGCGTTTTAAACTATGAAACTTGCAGGATGTTATGATGATATTGATATTGCAAACTTGTTTTTTTTTCATATCGTTTTCATCATTCATATCGTTAACATGCTAGTTTGTAGCACAAATAGTTTACAGTTTATTGCACTTATTCTTCTAGTTGTTTACGGATATCAAATTTTAATACAAGCAAGTAAACTGGTAAATTAGTATTATGCCATAAAATGTAAAAATATAAAGTGGTAATTGCATGTGTGAACCTGGCTGGACGTTGCTTTTTGATTTCTGTCGTGTTCTGTGTGGTTGCTAGTCTTATGTTCTTATAAAAAAGTGATATTTTCTGGTCTTCAGAAATAGCTCATGTCCCTGTGGGATTTTTTAACCTCTTTTTTCATCCTCAACCTGTTCAAGTAAAATTGGTAAGTCCCTGATATAGGGCATGTTGACGTTATGGGAGGCTGTTGTGTATTGACATTGATTAATGAAGAACACTAAATTGTATCTAGATTAAAAAGTTCTGCAACATACCTGAAAACCAAAAACCGTTCATGCAATGCTGTAGATATAATGGGAAACACCACACCATGGTAATATCCAGCCACTACTTTAGTCAATATAATTAATGAATTTTATAAAATTGAAACATATAAAAAACTAAAATAAGGAACAAGCTGTTGATGTGGTCAAATACATTTATTTGTACTGCGCTTTTCACATACATATGACATTGTTTCAGCAGCTGTACAGAAAATCGTGATGTTAGTGTTTATGAAATCTTAATATCTTCATGCCTTATATAGTAGCAGATTAGAACTGGATGATATTATAGTTACTTTTTTGATATGTGACCGTGAAGCACAAAGCAGTCATAAGTAGCAGAGGTATATTTCAAAAAATGGACCCTTATGACTGGTTTTGTGCTCCAGGGTCACGTATATAAACAATAACGCCGTTGAAATTTGCTATAAATATTGCATTATGTGAGTACTTGGATTACTTGTATCCAACTTTATATAAAGAGCTGGCCGATAATCATTTGTGCTGTCTGTGAGCTGCAGATGCGTCTGGTGTTTGAGACGAGCCCGATGATAAAGACTGACCGCAGATCAGCGGCGCTGTGTTTCTGTGTGTTGTGTAAGATAGAGAGAGAAGAGACTCCAGCTTTACTCCTCCCACACAGGAGCATCACGGCCTGACACGCACCGATATATATATATAGAGCGCAAACTTTTATTCTTTCACATGTGGGTGTTTTCTGTGTGTGTGTGTGTGTGTGTGTGAGTCCTTGACTAAGTGACTGACAAATGCTTTGAAAGCCTCTGATTCTGTGTCGAGTCTGAAAACATCTTCATCAGGGCCAGAAACAAATCCAGCCTGAGAGAAATCAGTACAAACGAGAGAAAAGCACAGCTGTGTTTGATTTGGGTTCTCTGTGTTGTGGGCGGTTGCCAGGGTGGAGCAGTGTAGTTGCTAAGGTGTTCTGAGTGGTTGTTAGTGTAGTGTTACACAGTTGCTAGAGTGTTCTGAATGGTTGTTAGTGTAGTGTTATATGGTTGCTGGGTAGTTGCTAATGTGTTCTGATGTACAGGATGAGTTCAGTCCTGAAATTTGGCGTTTAGTTTGCATCAGTAACCCTAAACATGAGCCATAACCACTAACTAACCCGCAGGTTATTTCGGCTGACTGGTTTTGCAGTGCAGAGCAATGACAGCTGCAGTGATCCGTGTGTTCCTCACTAAAGGCTTTCATTCACACTAATGATTTTAATATATGTGATGCTCAGTGTGTCAGTGCATCTGCTCAATCTGTCCAATTCCCATGATGCTTTGGGAAGTGTTTATGATTTCATTTTGCTCTGGGACGTTTGATTTGGCTTCCAGAATTCACATTTACTCTCCCTCACACACACACACACACACACACACACACACTACACACACACACACACACACACACACACACACACACACACACACACACAGATACACAAACACTCAAACACAATACACACACACACACACAAACAAACACAATACACTCACACTCACACTCACACTCACTCACTCACACACACACACACTACACACACAAACAAATACTCAAACACAATTCACACTCACACTCACTCACTCACACACACACACACACACACACACACTCTCAAACACTTAAACACAATACACACACACACAAACACTTAAACACAATACACACACACTATATACACACTATACACATACACACACACACACACAAACACTTAAACACAATACACACACACACTATATACACACTATATACACACACACACACAAAAACATTTAAACACAAACACACACACACTATATACACACACACACTCAAATACAGTACACACACACACACACACACACACACTCACACAGTTTATTTAACAGAAGTTCATGTCTCGGTTTAAGTGAACAAGTTTCATGTGTGTATAGTGTGTGTGTATATAGTGTGTGTGTGTGTGAGTGTGTGTGAGAGAGTGTAAGTGATGATGAGTGATATAAATGTATTTTCCTCTCTGTCCTTTCACAGATTCAAGGTCAAATGCTGCGGTAAACATTAAGTTGTTTATACTGATGCCGAACCTTGGAGCTGAAGGTCATTTCCGAGTTTAATACAGTCACACCAGACAGAGAGACACATTAATGCTTAGTACTTTTACCTTTTTTTTTATTTGTTTGTAAAGTTGTTTTAAAACCTATTTTATTATTTTTATTGTTATTTTATTCTTGGTTAAATAGTGAAACCTGTGAGTGAAATCTTTTATTTTAGTTTATACAGATTTATACAGTTTATTCCATTTTATTTCATATTTAATTAACAAAATCGGCATCTTGTTTTATTTTCTATTTTGGTAATAGTTTACTATATATTTAATTTAATTATATTTTAATAATTTTTTTTATTACAAAATGTGAATCTTGTTTTTTTTAGCCTTTACAGTTTTATTTTATATTTGCTAATTTATTATATTTTTCAAAACGTGCATCTTTTTTTATTTTGGTTTATACAGTTTTACTGTATTTACTCATTCAGATGAAATAGATTTTTTTTATTAAATCTTTTTTTTTAGTCTATAGTTTTACTTTATATTTACTAATTTAATGCAAAACCTGTATCGTTTTTTAAATTTAATTCCATTTAAATTTTTTTATTAAATGAAATGAAATGAAATTGCAAAATATGTATCATGTTTTTTATTTTAGTCTATAGTTTTACTTTATATTTACTAATTTAATTAAAATCCTGTATTCTGTTTTTATTTTAATCTACACAGTTTTACTTTATAATTTATAACTTTTTAATTCAATACATGTATGATGTTGTTTTTCTATTTTAGTGTATGCAGTTTTACTTTACATTTACTAATTAAATTAAATTAATTTCCGTTTTTATTTTAAACTAAATTAAATTATACTGATACTTGTATCTTTTTTTTTTTTTTTTATTCTGTAAAGTGTTACATTTATATTTACTTATAAGTTTCAGTATACTTTTAAAATACGTTTTAGTTCTGTCAAAAGCAGCCAAACAAAATGCATCTGGACGAATTTAAGTTTTTTTTGGACCAGAAATGTCTACAGTGGTTACGGCTCTTCTTACAGTTTTCTCTTTTTTCAGCTGCTCACACACATTTTTAAAACTTTGCCTCTTTTTTTTTTTTTCAAAACTTCACACACAAATGCAAGAACTGCACACACAAAATGCCTCACATCTCTTGCAAAATTAAGCGCTGCATTCAGAACATCACAAACACATCTCAAAAGCAAACATCTTTGCCCTAATATTAATTCCTGTTAGATTTTTGTGTGTTACATTGTGTGTTGTGTTTTAGTCAAAGTGTCTGGTTTTGTAGATTTGGTGTGTGCTTCTGCTGTTTGAGTGTCAGCTTTCAGAAACTGTGTGATGAGGAAAGATTATGTGTAAGCGGCTGGAAAAAACTTCATTTGCTGTGAGACCAGAATGTTGATTCTGCAGGTTTGCAATGCATAAAATATTCTTCTATAGTCACTACACTAAATGTCACACTAGAAGTGATTCTAGTAAATGAACGGTTAACTAGCGGTCATCAGATCTGCTCTGTCATTGGTCAGACACCTCAGGGTTTCTGTGACCTCAAACCCCAAACCAAGGCTGATCCGCCGAGCCATTATATGAGCTCTGAGAGCGTGAGTCTGTAGGTTAATGAAGAGCATCATGTGTTCAGTGAGCGTGTGCTGCTGCGCTGCTCTGCTGCTGCTGCTGCTGCTGCTGCTCAGATGCATGCTGGGAAGGCGCTCGGTGCCGTGTCTGCCGCGGGTGCCGGTGTTGGGCAGTCTGCTGCACCTGCGCTCGTCTCTGCCTCCTCACCTGCTCCTCACACAGCTGTCACACAGGTACGGCCCTCTGTTTGGCCTGTACTCCGGACCGCACTTCACACTGGTGGTCAGCGAGATCGGTCTGGTCAGAGAAGTGCTGCTGCAGCGCGGCCGAGAGTTCGCCGGACGGCCCAAGATGGTGAGCAAGACAGTCTGAGACTGATACTGTAATAGTGTGTTGATAGTTTTATATTCGAGTCAATCTGATGAAAAACATGTCCAAGACAGATTGCACCCTTAAACTAAAGGGAAAATATAAGATTGCATGTAGAAAATGGACCATTTAGTTTTTTTGCATTATTTTAATAATTAATGATTATTTTTATTTTATTAATATTTTTATTACTTGAACAAAATGTAAATAATATAACATTTAAATTAAATGTATTACAGTTCTTTTTCAGCTGCTTACACACATTTTCAAAAGTTTGCCTCTTTTTTTTTTCAACACTTCACACACAAATCCAAGAACTGCACACAAAATGCAAAATGCCTCATCTCTTTCAAAACGAAGCGCTGCATTCAGAATATCACAAACACATCTCAAAAGCAAACATTTGCAAACACCTTTGCCGTAATATTAATTCCTGTTAGATTTGTGTGTGTTGCATAGAGAATTGTGTGCTGTGTTTTGCAAAAAGAGTCAAAGGCTGAGAATTAGCATATGGTTTTGCATATTTGGCGTGTGCTTCTGCTGTTTGAGTGTCAGCTTTTAGAAATTGTGTGACGAGTAATGATTTTGTGTGCAAGCGGTTTAAAAAACTATTTAAATACAAATATTTAAATAAAATATATATATAAAATATTAATTTTTTTAAGAGAAAATACGTAATACAATTCTTTTTATTTACATTTTATTTTAAATTAAAAGTACTATGAAATATGCTAGCGTGATTTATTAATTTAATGTATAATTCATATTTTTTGCATTACAGTAATGAGTGAAAATGTAAGTGATTTATTTGTATTTAAATCAGTAGTGAAAGGCAGTGTGAGAAATATTAGCATGATTTATGACTACTTTTTTTATTTTTCACTTTACAGTATTGCATTACAGTAATGAGAAAATAATGAGAAAACTTTTTTTTAATATTTAAGTCAGCATAAAGGCAGTATATTATCATTATGCATTAATACTTTAGAATTATACATTTTTTGCATTCGAGTAATGAGAATGTATGTTTTTTGATATTTTATTAATAAAATTGGAGGGTCAAGTGTGCTTAATTGTGATAAAAGTAGTGCAAAACATATTATTTGCTTTTTAATTTTAGGGTGAAGTATGACCTGTATATGTTTTTGACCGGTTTTGTGTTAGTGGATTTACCCTACTGCATTTTTACATTCGCCATTTGTTTTTTAAATAGTTAAAGTAGGTTTAAATGAGCAACTCTTAACTTCCCTGTAGCTTCTAATCTCTCGGTCTGGTTTTCAAAGGTGACCACAGATGTGTTGACTCAGGGTGGGAAGGATATCGCATTTGCAGACTACAGTCCGCTGTGGAAGAGCCATCGGCGTCTGGTGCACAACTCCTTCACGTTGTTTGGTGAGGGATCCGGCAAACTACATACCATCGGTAAACGAAACCAGCATTAAAGCCTGGATATTTATTCTACTTGAACCTAAAAGTGTTTCAGATTGTTTTCAGATTGTGATTAAAGTAAATGAGTGCCATCATGATCATGGGACTTCATGAGACATTTTCACGCTTCCATTGAACCACATACTACAAAGCTCTAAAAGTGTTTCAGAACATTATGCAGATAATATTATGTAAATGAAAACTATATAAAAATGAAAATGTCATTAATTCAGATTATAAAGTAGAAGTATATTTACTAGTACTTAAAAATGTTGGATCCCATGGAAGCTTAATTACTGCCATGGGGTAAAAAAAAAAAAAAAAAGAAGGTAATTGTGACTTTTCATCTCACATTTTTCAGAATTGCGATGTAAACTCAGAATTGTGAGAAATAAACTTGATTGCAAGTCACAGACTCAGAATTGCAATATAAACTCAGAATTGCGAGATACAAACTTTAAATGGCGATATAAACTCAGAATTGCGAGATATAAACTCAGAATTGCAAGATATAAACTCAGAATTGCGAGATATAAACTCAGAATTGTGAGATATAAACTCAGAATTGCAAGATATAAACTCAGAATTGCGAAATATAAACTCAGAATTGTGAGCTATAAACTCAGAATTGCAAAATATAAACTCAGAATTGCGAGATACAAACTTTGAATGGCCATATAAACTCAGAATTGCGAAATATAAACTCAGAATTGCGAGACAAACTCAGAATTGTGATATAAACGTAGAATTGTTAAATATAAACTTAGAATTGTGAGATATAAACTCAGAATTGCGATATAAACTCAGAATTGCGAAATATAAACTCAGAATTGTGAGATATAAACTTGATTGCAAGATATAAACTCAGAATTGCGAGATACAAACTTAGAATTGTGATATAAACTCAGAATTGCAAGATATAAACTCAGAATTGTGAGATGTAAACAGGAGTGCAAGTTACAATCTCAGGATTGCAAAATAAACTTAGAATTGCGAGACAAACTTAGAATTGCGAGATATAAACTCAGAATTGTGAGATGTAAACAGGAGTGCAAGTTACAAACTCAGGATTGCAAAATAAACTTAGAAATGCGAAATATAAACTCAGAATTGCGAGATATAAACTCAGAATTGCGAAATATAAACTCAGAATTGTGAGCTATAAACTCAGAATTGCGAGATATAAACTCAGAATTGTGAGATACAAACTTTGAATGGCGATATAAACTCAATTGCGATATAAACTCAGAATTGCGAGATATAAACTCAGAATTGCGATATAAACTCAGAATTGTGAGATATAAACTCAGAATTGCGAAATATAAACTCAGAATTGTGAGAGATAAACTTGATTGCGCAAAATATAAACTCAGAATTGCGAGATACAAACTTTGAATGGCCATATAAACTCAGAATTGCGAAATATAAACTCAGAATTGTGAGCTATAAACTCAGAATTGCAAAATATAAACTCAGAATTGCGAGATACAAACTT